TTTTTTTTTACGAAGTCTGCCATATTTCGACAGTAGCCCAAAACATTCAAACCAACCACAGATAGAGCCTTTCACGGTTGTTGTTAGTTTTGTAGCCACCGTAGTTTCTCCTACACATTGGAAGGGTGGGTGAGGCCAGGGATAACTCCTACCCTGCACCTTTAAGTACGGCCTCACAGCTGCCATGCTAGCAGCTATGGCTGTAGATGCTTTTGTAAGAGATATGAGTTAACACAAGCTAATAAAGATAGCAAGGATATGCTGGCTCCTAACACTTGCTGGTTTAAAAAGTTAAAAAGCTACATTAGCTAACATACAAGGCACAGCTAACAATCATAATTTATTTCAACGTAAAGAAAATGAGAGAATTGCTAAACTATGGTGGCAGGAGGATTTACAGTAGCTAATAAGTTAGCTAACTTATTGTAGTTACCTAGGTTACACCAGTCTGCTAAAAGTAAAAAGACCAGCTAGGAACTTATAGTCACAGTTCAATAAATCTTCATATGATATGCTAAGGCAAATGTCGATGTGCTGACCCTGATAATGCTCTTTGGTAGTTCTGTTCTGAACGAGCCTGACTCTTTCTAGTGGTATTTATCAGTGCATACAGTTTTGGTTTTATTTCCTGTGTTTATTTATAGAATATTCAATAGCAGTGCTTCTTTCTAAAAACAGTATCCCAGTTACTCTGGATAGTCCACAGCACACACAGAGCCAGTCTATGGAACTAAACCGTCCTGTGAACTAAGTCATGAACTAGCATATTTGTGGTACTAATGACTTTTTCCCCTCCAGATGAAATGTCAAGAAGTCATCACCTCCTAGCTTCATTGGTACAGCAGTTTATGTTTTTTATTTTCACCTGTGAGCAGTAATCTGCTGGCTGACTCTGAGTCTGTCTGACCTACATTATAAATCACTGCTCCACTCCGCCGTCTTAACAGATGGAGAATAAGCCGTTTCTTGGCACAGATTTAGACAGATGTTTCCATCACAGAGGTCCCACTCTGATGCAGGGTGTTGTGCCAGTTTCTTCCCCATTGTGTTTTCTTGACATTTAGGTTTTCAATTCAGTTTTGTTTTGTTTGGTTCTTTTGCTCTTTGTGATCTGTCCTCAAAACTGTAGTTTTTGTCTGTGTTCTGAAAAAGTTACATATTTTACTAAAAGAAATAGATCCCATATTTTGCCATTTTTATGTATTCACTGATTGAACAATAATGTTTCTCCTGTTTCTATTCTGTGACTATGTATTCTTGTGTCCTCCAGGTGGAGATGGAGGAGAACGAGGCGTTATTTGATGGCATGGCCTTCGGCCTGATCCGAAGGTGGATCTGGAACCTGATGGAGAAGCCTTTCTCCTCCATCACTGCCAAGCTGATGGGGATCGCTTCCTCCATCTTTGTGCTGGTATCGCTGGTCGCCATGACGCTCAACACTGTGGAGGAGATGCAGTACAAGGTGTTTTACTTTTTGTGTGTATGTAGAAGGATAAGACAGATTCTTCGCATTGGTTTGTGTGTATAGGAGAGGCTCTTCCACAGGCAACTGAGAAAGGGAAGGACTCATTTTAAAGTTAAATTACAACCCGCTCACAAATTGGCAATAAAAAGTACGTTCACACTCTTGCCTCCTTATCAAGTCTTGTTTTATTCTACGTGATAATGTTGCAGACACAAATGGTCTTCCTGTGATAGAGGTAACAGTGTGAGTGCATATGTGTAAATATAGATGAACTGAGATGACATGTCATACACCATCTGTGAATTATTGTTAGTACAGAGTTAAATGCACACGCATGTGCACAGGAAGAATGTAGATTTATTCTTAGAATACTGTATATATTCATAGATTCACATGCTTTTCAAATCAGTCAACAGCAAATGTGCAGAAACGTAAAGAACACGCATCTGCAATTATCCCAAACTGCATTACCACAGCAAAAGCATAACTTTGTCAAAGAAAAATAAACATTTTAATGTGGAGAAATAGTTCAAACAAACAGTCAAAAACAGGATTTATTTATTATTTACTGTTCCTTCCTCTTCCAGACAGCGTCGGGCGAACCCAGCGGCAGATTCTATGGCGAGAACGTGGAGACGTTCTGCATCACCTTCTTCACCTTGGAGTACCTGCTGCGCCTGGCGTCCACCCCCGACCTCAAGTGTTTTGGACGCAGCATGCTGAACACCGTCGACATGGTGGCCATCCTGCCGCACTACCTGCAGATGGCCTTGGAGTACTTCGAAGACGAGGACATGCACCTGCACTCGGGGGACATCGAGACCGTTGCGCGTGTCGGAAAGGTCAGAGAGGGCTGCTGGGAGAGGGGATGATGAGATTTATTTGTCTTACTCATATTAATTGGTTCTTCTTGTTTGTTTTTTCTTGTTGATAGGTGGGTCAGGTTCTGAGGATCATGCGTCTGATGCGAATCTTCAGGATCTTGAAGCTGGCTCGTCACTCGACAGGCCTCAGGGCCTTCGGCTTTACACTGAGACAGTGCTACCAGCAGGTCCGACTGTACCAACAACTTGTGTCAATTATAGTTATCATAGGAATAACTTTTTACTTTTATTTTTGTTCAAGTACGGACCAAATCTAGTGAGTATTTGAGGAAATTTGTTGGAGAAGTGGTGAAGATAGTGTTTGGCATGGCCTATAAGTACAGATACATGTTAAGGCTAATGAATCTAAGACTTTATGCCTCACAGTATCTAAAACATAAAGCAAGAACAAAGGACAGGAAATGCATATTAAAATGCGTTTGTGTGTGCAGGTGGGCTGTTTACTGCTCTTCATCGGCATGGGCATCTTCATGTTTTCAGCCATGGTGTACACTGTGGAGCACGACGTTTACAACACCAACTTTACCTCCATGCCGCACGCATGGTGGTGGGCCGCTGTGAGTCCACACATAAACACAGCCTGTCAGTCGACCTGCTTTCTGTCTCCACCTGTTCTCTGTTGCCTACATATTCACATTTCTGGCAGTGTTGTAGAAGCAGAAGCTTTAATTTTGATCTCAGTAAGCTAAAACAGTGCACACAGAAATGTGTATCACCCTCAGCCAGTGAGTTTTTCAAAAATACAGCAGCCAATATATTTAGTACACACTGTGAATTCTGCACCACCTTAGACTTTGTCCAATGAATGCAACTTTTTCTCAAATTTGAGATGTCCCCTGTGCAAAACATTGAGCCACACACCACCAAACTACTAGCTTTTTTATTCTCACTGTCAAAAGTATCATTGGAGTAAAGTGTGTCAATATCCGTACTTGTGTACGTAGTAATGTAGTAACTTTCATGAATAAACTCTAAATAGTTCTCTTGTGTGATGAAAGACGTTGACCTGAAGCTCAGTTCTGAGACTGTTCTGTAAATAGTTTTCTAATAAATATAGCAACTTCTGATAAACCCATATCATTTTAAGACTAAAATGAACAACTTCAGATTAGCACCACCCACGTCCGGCTTTTCTGATTACGTATAGAAATACAGATCATTTAGATTGTTATATTAAACAGCTACTCTGTTAAAAATACAGAAGAGCAACTGCAATTTATAGATGTATTTTACAGCAGTACATTGCGTTTCCTGTGACTGCTTCACAAGCAACCCCATATTTCTCTGATACAGCTGTAGGAAAGTGATGCATGCATAAACTGTCTCCTGTGAATCCCTGTTGCGTTTGTTTTCGATTTGAATCCAACGCACGAATGGCAGACTCCGCCACTAAGAATGACAAGTGAATGTAAATACACTGAATGACTACTACTGAAAAAATGTCGGGCATAAATAATACGCTTGTTGTTTTAAAGTTAAAAATGTAAAAACCATTTCATTATGTATGTATGTATTTAAATACAATTATTTTTAAAAAGCCCTGTTAGAAAACAGGATAAGTCATAAGTAAGACTAACATGAATAATAATGTTTTTTCTTTGATTCTTTAGGTGAGTATTTCCACAGTGGGCTACGGCGACATGTTCCCTGAGACCAACCTGGGCCGTATCTTCGCCTTCGCCTGCATCTCCTTCGGCGTCATCCTCAACGGCATGCCCATCTCCATCCTCTACAACAAGTTCTCCGACTATTACACCAAGCTCAAGACCCACGAGTACACGGCCGTCACCAGGGCCCGCGGGAAGGTGCAGTTTGCCAAGAGAGCGGCAAAGAGGTTGGCTGAGTGCTGCGAGGACGTCGTACAGCAGAGGACATCCCGTCTGCAGTGAGCCAGGACTACAGTAAGATCTGAAGTGACAGTCAGGGATGTGATCAGGACAGCAGAGACAGCAGAGACTGCCAGTTTATGGAACTGCAAATGAACCTGGGACATCCTGCACAGGTCATTATGCCACTCAGAGTCATTGAACCAGTACCTGCTGAGAAATCTCCAGCTGTCTGGACCTCCGGTAACACACTTTTGAGGACGATATTTTTCCTGAAAGGACATTTAAAAGTTATATATGAGATTTAGAACATAGATATAGCAGCATGTCACTATATATATGATGGAGTCACTATGTCCTGAGCAGAGAATGACACTATCACTCTGCCTGTGTTGCTATCGCAGCCTCTCTCTGGTTTGTTTACAACGCCAAGGCTGGCCGCAAATGCAGGTTGGTGCATGTGAGTCTCCCTCCCTGTACAACTGAGGAGACTGGCTGAAACTGTGTTTTTTTTTTTTCTAATCTACGTTGCTGAATTAATTTACCTTCTGTCCACTTTGATTGAAGTTATGAAAGGATGATATGCAAGGTAAAACTACTGTTTTTATCTATTATATATTATTGGTTGAACAAGAGCTATATCTCTGTAGGAATCCTTTCCATAATGTTGTCAGACTCTTAGAATAACAATCTGAGCCTGTCAGTGGCAGAAACCTTTAGTGGATGTACAAGAATTAGTTAACGTTACATGACAGCCATTGCAGCCCGTTTCGCTATTTTTACATCTAACTCTGACCTAAGGGTTTACTTATAACCAGAGAGGGCGATTGTTGGGAAGTTCTGTTTTGTTTCTGTCCAGTTTGTAGTGTTTTACGATTATCTGCGAGGTAATATGTCCATTGTTTTAGTCTGAGATGCTGGTGCTCTAGTGCGACATCTGCTGGCAATGAATTTCGTATATATAACCTTTAATTAAACTTACCTCTATCATCCTTTATACGTGTCTATTCCTGTTAATCCCAGCATGCAACGGGAGAAAAGTAAGTGAACACCTTCTGAATTGGTGGTGCAGGTTGGGAATTGACTGAAAATGATAATGTCAGAATTCATGTTTGATTTGCCAAAATGCTAATATATTCTGATGCTTACAGCTGTCTGTACGACCATCTTCACCAACCTATACTCTTCCTCCATCCACACCTTTAGTCTCTAATGATCACAAGTAATTCAGGAGGGAAATAAATCAGAAGTCAAGACCTGACAAATGAACGAACATTAGACCTGTTTGTGTCCCATTTGTCTCTCTCTAATAATAAACCTCTCCGATGATGTCTCTCTCTTTATCATCATAAAGCTTACTGAAAGCTACATAAAGCACCTCACCATTATGACAGTGTTTTATTATTTACCATTTAGTTTAAAGAAATAGGAGAAAAAATCAAGTACCTTAATAATCTTTATTTTGCAAACATTTTCTTTTTAGCCAATACAATTATTAATCACTCAAGGTACAAAATCTTACATAAAAATCTGAAACAGAGGATGGCACAAACAATCAGGATAGTGGACTGTTTGTTAGTTTAGGGCCACTTCTTGCAAATGACCAAAAGACCTTCAGGTTGTACAGCCAGATGGTTTTAGTTGTATTTGTCCAGATTTTGAGATATGTGTCTGTTGTGTACTGAGCAACAGAGACACCGCTCCTGTAAAATAAATATCATGGGTGAACGGTTCAACTGCAGTGCTTTGAGCACCAAAATTAAAACTCCATTCACCTCAAGCAGAAATCTATCTATACATCTTAAAACCTGGACAAATAAAACCAAAACTATCTGCACGATAGAAAGCACAAGAGGACGGCAAACGGACTCTGTATACCAATAAATGTCAAATAGTTGATTCAATTTTCAACTGCAAAGAGCACCAGGATTATATTTTAGGAAGAACTCTCCCTGGATAATGACCTGCTCTGTTTTTATTTGGTGTCAATGCAAACTCAACACTTCATCCATGTTTACGTGTTGTCTTGTGACGCTGACTCCAACAGTAAACCAACAGAATCATATCTCAATCACCCACCGGCCGCTCCGAGTTTCTCTGACAGAAATACTGTTCACTCACTCGTCAGTTGTTTATTTATTTACTTTGCAGTTTTAAGCTACGGTCAATAAAGCTCAACACTTCCTGCAAATGTTTCACTTTAAAAGCATTCAGCAACTCAAAGGGTGCAGTTCTTTTGCCAGGAGAGCTTTTAATGTGAAAAATGTTTAATTGACAGTAGCTTAACAGTTATTGAATAAAGTATAAATATAGAAGTGACTGGAGAGAACAGTTGTTCTAGTACAGAATTAAAAAGATGTACGTTGTTTTCTGTTCATGTGTTGTAAAACTGGTGAATGAATCTGTGTATTTTAACCCGTTTCCTCTTAGCATCACTTTGTCCTCCAAACACTTTTATTTCCATTTCCAAACTCTTCTCCATTTTCCCATCAAGGGCTGAAACCACGCAGCAGTATTCCAGGTTGTATCCACTTCCTGAAAACGTTGCCATTTGCAAACAACTCCCATCCTTGTATTCGTTTTCTGGAAAAAGAAAGGACTGCTGCACAGGAAGTGATGCGTTTCACATCACCAGTTTGTTTGAAATAAAAAGTCTCTATTTGTTCAGATGCTCCAGCAGGATTTCAGCTCCTTTGTTGTTGCTGATGCTGCTGAGCTCCGACTTGATGGACTCCAGCGCCGCCTTCACCTCCGCGGCCACGGACTTGTCATAGCTGTTCAGGAGGCTGCACGCCAGAACACAGGCAAAGAGTTAAAAGGCTGGTTGGCTTGTGGCCACATATCCAAATGTTTATTTCCTAACTATTTCAAATGTTAATCATTCTTAACAATGACACTTCTACAGCAGAAGCAAATGATGTGATTTCATTGCTTAGTTTGATTTGGTTGTTAACGTTTCTACCCAAATATTGGGCTCTATCTTTGTGTTAGCGGGGTGAAAACACGCCCATATAAACTTCTCTACAATGTGTGTCCACTGACCTGCAGAGCACCATGGCTCCTCTGTTGACTTTGACCCAGCTCTTCAGGTTGTCTGTTCCCACTGTGTCCACCAGTATCCTGCCGAAGCGCTCTGAGAGGGCAGGTGAGGCAGACATTAACAGGCAGAATGAGAGCGAGGAAAGGCTGAAGTTATTCATATTTGAACCTATATTTAGCTCAAGGATGTTTTGTTTCGTTCAGTCAGTGTAATCTGGTGAAAGGTCGGGTCATGGGTCAACACTTTTTGGTGCAGATGGTGCCCTCTAGTGGCCATTTAATTGTTTTACACATTCACATAACTCCTGAACTCTGTGACGCACACAAACAGAACTCTTTAATCAGACTTATTTTTGTGAATTTGAATTAACTCACAAAAAACAAAATGGCTTTGAAAGTTTCTCAGTGACTTCAAGACTTTAAGTTCATTTCCTCAGCATGCTGACATAAACTGAAATGAACCCTAAACTGATGGGATGGTTTTAGAAAATGGTCAACAGTGATTTAAACTTCATACAAAATGTATGAAATCAATGTGCTTCAATATGTAAAACCTCCATATAATGACCACAACATCAACTGGCACTTTATAGCCAAATTACTGTCTGTGTGTCTGTGTGTCTGTGTGTCTGTGTGTGTGTACGTACCTTCTTTGCCGGCCTCTGCCAGTGTCATGTCCTGCTCTATGAGCCACTTCAGCACCAGGTGTCCTGCTGGATGCTCCGCCATATGAAGCTGCAGCAGAAACACACACAGAGTTCACACTGAAGAACAGCCAACAACAACAACACCAACAACAACAACAACAACTATTCCCGTAGAAATTGCCCTTCAGGTAGTGGAAAAATCCACACTGTTATTTTATATTTAGTCATATCTAAGGTTCCTCCTATTTACTGGAATAGTGAACAACGTTTCCATCGCATAAGAACCTTATGGGATGGAGAGAATTGTTCCAGTTATTATTTAAACCCTCAGGTGTTTCCAGGGGGTTTTAGCTTGCAAAACGGCAAGTGCCCCTGGTATTAAACAGGATAATGCCATTATCAGGAATGAATGGTTGGCGTGGAGGCCAGAAATATCCAATGTACAGATTATTTAGATGAAGTTTTTATGCAGCTGCTTACGTTTAACATTTAAAAACTTTGGACTTTGTTGATGAAAAGGTTTAGTAGAAAAACACGTTTATATTCCTCAACGTAACTCCAGTAGAAGTAGTCATGGCTCATTCTCCGAAATATAATGTGACACAAACTGCTACTAGCTAATGTTTTACAGTGACATGAGACTAAACCTGAGAATGTGACCGGCAGATGGTTCCCCCCCCCTCCCTACCTGTCCCTTGATCCCTCCTGGCACTAACTCCTGATTGGCCAGCTTAGCCACAGCAGTCATGGCGGGCTGCAGGTCCCCGCAGGCCGACGCCAGGATGTCGCTGACGGTGACGCTGCTCGCCTTGTCCGTCACCATGGTGGCGGCGTTGTCGCGAAGATACTCCAGCAGCGGGGGGGAGACGACTTCCAGCAGCTCCTTCCTCCGAATCGCCATGTCCTTTTTACTGATGACAGGAAGACGGAAGAGATGTCACGGTCCTCTCATCAGCTGTCAACAACTACATCAGCTTATGAAGGCTTGAAACCTGCTGCAGCTGTCCTTATTTATTGTCCTGTTGTGCTACAGGCAGTGAGTAATGCACTTCCTTCCCCTTTTTACTGACAGCTGGGGCATTCAGGTGTGATGGGTTTGTTGGGACATACAGAGAGAAAGCAGGAGGGACTTGGCAATGTAGTGCTTCTACACTTCTAAACTTAGGACAAAGACCATGCGCTAACAAGTCTGTGAGGTGTCCTTATATTCAGACACACACACACACACAGCTGTTACCTGTGTACGTTTCCATCTCCTTGCTCCAGCACCTTGATGATCTCCGGCAGCAGGTGAGCATGGTCTCTGGGGCTCAGCAGGTACAACAAAACCTTCTTGCCATATTTATTACCGATGACCTCATCCAGAGACGCCAAGATTTCCTGAACAGGTGGACAAACAGGTGAGATGAGTTTTAGACAACTGCAAAGTGATATTTGTGACCTGACTGCAGCTTTACATCTTCTCCACGTCATACAGATTCTTAGCCAACTGCAGTGGATGTTCACTGAGACTCATTGAGCATAATCACACAACATGACATCAGACTCACCGAGAGCACGGCCTGTTTGACCAGCTTGGTGTCGTCCACAGAGTCGAACATGGCCAGAAGAACCAGGTGACCAAACTCCCCCTGAGGACAGACAACAGTCACACATGAACAGTCGGAACAGATCTGACAACAAAAGTTGACGCTGTGTCCTAACTGCGTGCGAGTGTCAATCCTGTTGCATCGCACTATATCGGACGCTTTCTGTCCACACTGAATCCCATAATATGCACTTTGCTGTCATGCAATCAAACTACGTTCCTATTGGCTGTGTGCTGGAGGTCAGACTGGAGACATAACCAGTGCCACTCAAATAAAAGCTGGGTCAGTACTTGTTATGTTTGTACTTGATATTTATGTTTCTTTGCTGGAAATGATGAAAATATGGCCAACAGCAGGTAGGTTGTTTTTGTCGATCACCAGCTCTCTGGTGATCTCCCTCCAACCTGCTGCCAACCGGGAGGTGACCTGTACAGAAGAATACAATCTCCATATGCAGAGCTTCCAACGCGAGCAACAGGAATGAACAGAAACAGGGCGTTTGACAAAAGTTCAGCTCAAAGCGGTGCAACACTGTGTCACTCGCCGCCAGTTAGGACATTCTGATAGAAAATAATGCAAGCCAACACGCTCTGATATATGACTGAGCTCAGATATTTCCACACAAGTCCTCTTTTTAAGCTGAGCCTGATCTTTTCTAAAACCCTATGAGCTAATAAAGTATTGACGGCTTGCTTAATTGAATGGATGGATGGATGGATGGAAGGATGACGGATGGAGCAGCACTGAGAACTCACCGTGGCAAACTTCACCATGTACGTCTTCATAGTTTTGATTATGACTTTTCTGTCCTGAAACATGGAAAAAACATTTGCTCAAACAAAGACAGATATTTATTTTACAGGTTTGTGTTACAGAGACGTGTTTATGAACTAATCTACAGTACATTGCCAGATTGTCACTGGTGTACTCAGACGTGTGTTGTCTGCTCTCTCAGTGTGTGTGAGTGTGTGTACCTTGGCCGTCCCGTGCCACAGACACTGCATTGCCACTCGTGCTCCGTCGTGTGTGTGAGCCATGTAGACGACCGACTCCCTGATGGACTCGATCATCTCCTGCTCGCATCAGAATGAACACAAAGAGAGGAACATGCTACAGTGTGTACCACATTCAGTGAGTGTTTCAGTTTTCTGCTCATATTTAGCTCCTTTACTTTAGTTGTATTTCGTCTTATTTCACATCATTTTGTACTGTATTTAAGAACATTTCTAGAGAAATATATTGCTGTTTAGTAATTATACAACATTATGTAAGTGTCAAAGAGCTGCTTACCGTTCTCTGTTTGTCGGGCGCGAACAGGAAGAAGTCCAGAAACACTTTGTGGACCAGAGAGTGTTTGATCACTTGTTCTCTGAAACACAACCACAGTGACGTCTTTAAATAATCAAAGTGACGAACAGGGAAAATGCTGAAAGTCGATTTATCCATTACCTGTCAACTAGGAAATTCATTTCTAACCATTTTAAGTTTTCTCACTTACTTCTGGGCCATAGGCGTGAGAATCTGCTTCATCTCGTCGATGATGTTGTTCAATTTGTCCGGGTTTCCCTCTGCAACTTTCTCGATGGTGTTACACACTGTCGACTGGACACACAGGCACAGAAACGGCAGACATTACACACACTCTCTCAGTTTATCCACCAGGATACATCAACATGCTCAAATATCATGGTCTATAACCGCTGTAGCATGCAGGAGTGTGTGTGTGTGTGTACCTTGCAGACAGTGAAGGTGTTTCCGTACAGCTCCTCAGTGAGCATGAGCCTCTGTGCGAGCACGGCTTTGTCGTTGTAGGCGTACTCAATGATGGACGAGGCGGCGGCGTGCCGGAGCATTGGCCGCACGTGACCTTTAAATGTTTGCATCACGGCCGCCATCAGCTCCTTGTTCCTGCAGAGGAAACACAATCGAAACATCTTAATACTTTAACCGGAGCAAACTGAGCCCTTTTTTATTTCCCGTGCAATATTTAGAGTTCTTTTCCTTCCTGGTTTTTGGTTTATGGACACTCCAATATATTATATATTATATTGGACTTTGTCAAGGATTGGAAAGAGCCGACTCACCCGTACATCAGCATTTTTTTCACCACGTGTTTGCCGTACTGTGATTTACACAAACCGATGATGTCATCTGTGGGAGACAACAAAGCACCGTCAGTTAATGTCTGTTAGTCAGCTGCTCCGCTCAGACGCCACCCATATAAATGCAGACCTTGATGTAAACAGTTCAACGATTCACCTCATAGACGAGTTGCTTGTTCACAAATAATTAAGGATGCGCGTGCAGCATATATATGGACAGTTCCACTATTTCAAAATAAAGCAATTTGCCTAAAACTGGTAAATCAACTTTTCTGAGTTACATTTGTCAGCCAACAATTCATTTCCAGAATGTTTTACCACACACTTGAATAAACATCTGCTGGCTTTAGCTAGCTAACATAACACGTGGAATTCCAGTAATGAGTGGCAGCACTGTCAGGAATAATGCTGGACCACCACAGATTAAACTGGCACAAACCTCATTGGGATTGTTGGATGCTAATTGCTAATTCTGCCCTCGGAGCTAACAAGCGAGTTCCCTTTTTGGGATAATGAACATTTTCCCAAGATTACTGTGCAGTTTAAAGCCTCTGTCTGTTAACCCTCAGTTATTATGGTTTGTTTTCTCTCGTCCACGTGTGCACACATCTCACAGTAACATCCTGCATGCACATCAGTCACTAGCATGAGGTAACATATGTTGCTACTCAGTGTCCCACTGCGACTTGTTAGCTTTATTTGGTGTTTCTCTTTTTATATTGTGAGTATTGATGCCAGTATGGGTCTATGTTGGACTCAAAACAACAGAACAGCTGGAAGTAAGACAGTAACACTATACAGCTGGAATGAAACAAGCATAATGATGACCACAGCTAAAAGGAAGCAGATGAAAGAGGCAAACTTCACCTTTGAGCTCCTCAAACGCTTCCTGTCTCTGCTCGTGGTTGCCGAACTGGATGAAACACTGCAGCACTCGCACCGAGTCGTGAGCAAACGCCATCTGGAGGCGGGAGGGCGACAGTGAGAAACAGCAGGCCACAAGATTTTAGAACATAAATGTGGGAGTCTTCCTGTCCGACTGCTCACATTTCTTGAGCCTTCGGAGTTCTTTTAAGTGTTCCCAAATCTCAGCTACTAACTTGGTGTGCCCAATGTTAGAATTACTGAGAGAACTGAAAGCTGTAATAAACCCGAATTATCCTATAAAGATACAATAAATCCTTCCTATTGGTACATTTGCAGATCTTTAAGTGAAAACATCCAATAGAAGAAGAAGAAGAGCGCGACCTTCAGAAGACACATGTCCCACTGTTTGATTGACAGGTGATCTGTGGACATTCAGGACCAACATTGCAGATCAGACCAGACTACTTTTCCTGAAACACTCGAGGGATTCTGTGTTTGCAGTGAAAGGGTGAAAAGGCAGAGAGAGACTCACCTGTTTGATCTTCCCGCGAATCAGATCGTGAAGCTCCTTCATCAGTTTCTTCTTCAAGTCATTGTCGCAGTTTTTCCTGTTGACACACACACACACACACACACACAATCATCTGTCAGGCAGCAGCACTACAATCACGTCAGAAAGTAATCTACCAGGAAATGTGGGCTCAAACTGGTCAGTTCCTGGATGACTGCAATGGTTCAACCTTTTTTTTTTTTTGCCAGACCACCTCCTCTGTGGTGGCCTCATTGAATTGGCAATGCAAAAACTGGCATGGCTTTCTCCAAAGGGATCCCTTGACCCATGCAGTTTTTTTGTCTTCTTGAATGTTTCTGCATAGTGGGCCATAAACAGAAATAAAACTGGCTATGACTGGAAAGCTGAGACTATATGTACTATAGGAGAATCACAGCCTCGTGAAATCATACATTCATTCATTCTAAGGATGTACGGTTTGCCACGGTATATTGAGGCCACTGATTTCTCACCATATTTTAGTTCTAGTACAAAACCCTGTAGGCTGGGCTTAGATTGAAAGGAAGCTGACATGGAAAAGTTCACTACCGATTACATCATCAAACACTGAATGCCCCCCCCCCCCCCCCCCACTTCAAAACTCATTCAGGCACCACTGGAGTGTGTATGCATGTGTGTACCTCCTGAGGTCTCCCCACACTCGTTTTGCCTGACAGATGATCTCGAACATGTCCTTCCTCTCCGCCTGCTGCCTGTTCTTCTTTAGGTCCTTCTTCCTCTGCTGCCTGTTCTTCTTCAGCTCCTCCTTCGTCATCTCCTTTGTCTTCGGCTTAAACTCGCCTTTCTTCATCTTCTTAGCCACCGGACCTGATCACACACACACACTCAGAAATCACTTACAATGTTTATACATTTCAGTGATAATCATCAGAGACAGAGAGGAGTTCGAGTTCAGAGCAGTGAAACAATCACAGGCCCAGGTCATACAGAGTTGTTGTTTTGCTTTAATTAGAATGGCCAATTCTCACAGAGTGTACAGCGGCCGGAATGGTCGCTACATAGATAAATAGAAAGTAACAATGCACTGATTCTGGAGCTCAGTCTGTTTCTCCTCTCACCCAAGATGCAGAACAGCTGCTCACTGACTGTGCTGCAGCATGTAGCACATCTGTATCTGGCTGCAATTTGTGCCAGTGTTGTAAAATGGAGGTCAATATTTCTATATATGCGAGCTGCATTTACATTACATTTATAGATTGTGATATTACCTGTCTTATATATATATATAACAACACTGACACAAGAATGATGAGCAGCAACGAGACAAAAAAGACCAAATTATAATTAAACAAATGTTTTCTCACCTTCACCCTCATCTTCTTCCCTTTTCGCTTTAAAGGGCAGTTTCCTCTTCTGCGGCCCGTTCCCGGCTTTAGAGAAAGCAAATTTGTGTTGTTTCTTGCCGCCATCTCCACCCTTCCCCGGTCTGCTCTTCCTCTCCGTGTTGTACGGTTTGAAGGGTTTTTTACCGCCCGGCTTTCCGCCAAGTTTGGTCCCTATGGAATCTGGACAGAGCGAGACACGTCGATGACAAACCTGGCTTAAAGTGATGGTGTACACAGCTGGTTAATGTTAACTAACACTCACCTTTTCCTTTCTGTGTAAGCTTCTTTCCACCTTTAGGCGAGAAGGGTTTTTGTGATTTAGCCTCCATTCTGTGAGTCCCAGAGACAAATGGAAATTATACCAAGAGCAGAAAAACAGACAAACAAGACAGAAATCTAGGCTCCAGAGACTTTTGCACACCAGAATCCCACATATATACATAATGTCTGAAAGTGTCAGCAAAAATCAAACAAATCCAGTTAGATTTACACAGAACAGGAGTGTTCCCAGCAGTTAAAGACAGAAGATCAACCATAAATCTAATCAGATTTGGTTCAGTACAGAGATAAACATTAGGTTGGGCTGCAGAAATCATTTGAAATATGCATTTGAAAATAAGAATTCATAAAAAAAATAATTTCAGACAATGTGATGAGACCTACAAACACACAGTAAGATATACATATGCAGGTGGTGATTCTACACAGGCAGAATCACAAAACCTACAACAGCACTGAGTGATAAACGGAAACAAATTATGGCATTTCTCTTTTGATCCAAGTATCCACACTTTGACTTCAGAGTTCAGAGTTACATTACATTGTTCTTTAAATCCACTACATCTCTCTGTTAGCTGCTTTTAACTGTTTCTTTGCAGATTGAGGTTTTGAACACAAATACCAGGTTGTATCTCTCAATAAGAGGCACTGTTAAAGAGTCAGACCACAAATAACAAGAGAAAACAACAATACCTCCGTCGACTAACTAACGTTAACAACCTAGGAATAAATACGTTATTACTTTACATTCCTAATGAGTTAATACAGTACTTATATTCACACATTACTGCTGCACATTAACTTCAGTTGTATTCGTTTTAGATAGTGTTGTCGCTACTTTTACTTCCATGAACGGTTCGGCTGCTTTTCAGAAGCTAGTTCATATGCTAACATCAAAAATGACAACAAATATTCTCACACAGTCGATAACGCCCCGCGCTCTGGGCTTTATCTGTACTGTTGATGCGAACAACAACAACAACAACAACAATAAATATTCATAATAAATAACAACAGAGGACATTTACAACATGAAATATGATCATTTTATTATCAGAACTGTCTCCTCTCCTGTCTCCTGTCTCCTGTCNNTTACATTCAGACACACACACACACGCTGCCCCAGCTCTGTCCCATGCGTTCAGGAAACAGCTCGGTTTACGGCACAAAACGTCCAATCACACGGAACCTTCGCTGCCGTAAAGCGTAGGTTGTTGCGACACCTCTTTTTCGCCGAAAAGTAGTAGAATGTGAACTTTTATTTACATATCATCACATTAAAACATTTGTTGGGCTCAGCAGACCTACAGTGAATCGATAACGACCTAGTTCGATATCTGTCAGTAGTCTCTGGCGTTAACCGCGCGAATCGGCGAGATAGTGCAGCGGCCATGTTTGTTTACAAGTGTCATTTAAAGGGATAGACGTTTCTTCTATCCGACATAACTTTATTACGTAATTATATCGTTATGATTCGATAAAATAATTATTATTATCTATGCCTTTTTGATCCAAAGATGAGGACGAAGATTAAGACAACTCCAATGAAGTTTAGAAACTACATTAACCAGTAGGCTTTGCAACGGATTGTCTTTCCTTGTTGCCTGGCAACGCCTCCAAACTACAACGGACTTGGAGAGTCGGAAAATGTAACGTTAGCAGATATTAAATATGAGTGAAAGTTCATGTAAAAACGTTTAGGTGAGTGCTAACTTGATGCGCAATTACTGAAAATGTAGTTCCTGAAGTTTTATTTTTGCTTTGTTGTTAACTTACGTTCCCCTGTCACTTTGGTCAAGTTGGAAAATAGCTTTGAATAATAAATTACAATTTTATAACGTTAGATAAAAAACAGAGCAGGAGGCAGGAGATGATTTAACGGCGGAAATGTCTGAAGAAACCACAGCTCCTGTTGGTGAGTATAGACTGAGAGCACACAGACTGTCTCACAGGACAACACTGAAGGTAGAGAGCATTAGCATGTAATAATAATAATAACAACACCTAATTTAGCTAATGGCTTTCAGATTCAGATTCACTTTTATTCACTCCATGTTAACACTGCATAGAATGGGATACAAACAACTAACTTTTTACAATACTGCTAGAAAAGGCTGAATTTTAGTCAACTATTAACAAACAATAAACTACTGAAAGAAGTGAAATAGCAGATAAAATGGAGGTCCTGAATTAGGCTGAAGTTTCAGGTTAAATGTAAGATCAGCTGAGACGAGCAAGCATTTAATGACCCTGATCTGTCAGCTGGAGCGTACCTGCTGATGGACTTACACAGTTCAATAATATGAGATGTCTGTTGATGTGCAGAGGGTGAAAGCAGTTGAAAAGTAAAGGATGAAAGCTGCTGACATTCAGTTAGATTCAGTTTAAATCCGTTAATCGATAATAATAATTGATTCCTTGTAACAAGTAAAATTGTGGAGAGAAGCAAAAAGAGACTTTAACAGTGGTTTAATATTGATAATGTTAGTGTCTCCTCAGCAACCTATCGACGTTTCCAATGACCTGATGTTTTTTATTGTCTTGGTCATGACCCAGACTTTTAAAAACAATGATTTATCTCTCTAAAGCTTAGAATTAATTGTTTTTTCTTATAAGATGCAAATATTTGATGGGAAAAAGTTCAAAAACTCATTGCTGGTCCAATGTTCCCTCCCTCACAGGAGCTGATAGCCAACACGCAGCGATGCAGCAGGAGGCCGAGGGAGGGTCAAAAAAGCAGCTCTCTGCAGACATGTACTACAAATATGAGGAGCTTCACTCCAGACCGTCCATCACACCGGACTCTGAAATCCCAGAGAACCTCCTGCACCTCTCGTATCCTTCGCTGAACATTCGGTTTATGAAAAACATTTCACTTCACAGTCCTTCTCACTTCTTCTCATCATACTCAGTAAATAGAGAGAAATAAACATCTGTCATACGGACAGCACACACAGTTTGTGTTCATCAGGGAGTTTTCCCCTCATTCACAGAGAAAAAGCCCCGTAAAGGACTTTCTAGCCTTTCATCAACACATGGGCCCTGTTTGATCTGAGCACATTTTCTTTGCCACGACACCATTTTCAGTCTCGCCTGTTTGTTTGTTTGCTTGTTTGTTTGTTAGCAGGTTTATTACACGATATGCTGTAATAAGAAAATATTTTATTGATAGTAATTTCATTCAGAGAACAATTTGAATGAAATGTATACAAATAAAATAAGAAACTAATTAGGTGTGACACTATAATGCTACAATATATAGATTGCAGTACCTTAGACTGTATATGAGAATTGTGCACGATTGTGCATCCGTTATGCAAATAGTTTTTGTGATAATATCACAGCGTAAGTATATGTACAAGTATGAATGATGAACTTATATTTATATAGAACTTATTTAACTTTTAATACACCATACAGTAATAATACAATAGTGTGAAAAAGCAAGCTGTGGTATATGATATAATATAAAAACAATAATATAATAACAATAGCAGTAATATAGTAAGTGGTATAAGTTAAATGAATGTGCATGTGTCACTTCTACTACTCACTGTGTCACTACTTTCATAGTAATAGTATAATAATATAGATAATGGAGGACAAGGTGCAGGTGTATTGCTGTAAACAAGCAGTTATTATTATTATTATTATTATTATTATTATTATTATAGGGCCTTTGATAACATAATGACAGAATCCAAAGTAAATCTTGTCAGTGAACCTGATCCTTGATTTGTCCGGCCTTCAGTCACTCCTTTGGTTACGACAGTGGGCGCAGGGGGAACCTGCAGCTGCTGGATGAGAGAACTCTGATCTTTATAGCAGGAAACCTGCTCGTCCTGCTGGATGTTTCTACCAAGGAGCAGAGATACCTCCGCTCCTGCAGCGGAGGAGGAATCGGCTCCATCACGGTAAGTCTGTCTGTCTGTCTGTCTGAGATAGATGAACAGACAGATGAGTTTACATTTAAGCTTTGAAATTGTGGGACGTAGCTATAGATGATTATGTACACATTTTATGTACAAATATATATATACAAATAAACCCTACCAGTGGTTTGTTTTGGCCTATTTACTAAAAGTCATATGTACTTTACATCACAGCTACACAACACTGCAAACCATACTGTGGTGTGTTCAGCTTTTTGGATGTATTGTTCCTCACTGTTCAAGGCCATTGGTTTGCTGCACACTGACTTGAACAATCTGCATTGCTGCAAAATAATATGTAATTTTGACAACAATGTATGCAGACTTAACTGAGATAGATTACATGCCACAAACAAGTGTACTGATTAATTTTCATACCATATATATAATATGTAAATTAATGGAAATCAGTGGCTGACTGGAACTATGGGAAAAACAGAGTGTGCAAGCCTGCATTTGAAAGCAAAAATGTATAATACTGTATAAATGAATGACTTACTATATTTCACTTAAGTGCAACATGTAACTCTAAGTAGTCTGATAATACAGGAGTACAAGTTCTGAAAAATACCTATATACAAAAATGTTTTATTCTTAACTTTTTAACAAACATTTAAGGCATACACTGCATCCTATGGAAGCCTGTTTCTGCCAGTAAAATAAAAAATAAGATAAAAACTTAATAATAAAAATCAAAAAACTATCATATCAAAAGTATGAGATAAAATGTTACATTATAAGATAAATCTCATAATTTTGACTTTTTATCTCATAATTAAAACTTTTATCTTATAATTTTGACTTAACATCTACTTATCTAGGCTAATTTTTCATCTTACATTACTGATATTGCTTAAAAATAAAAATGTTAATTTGTTTGTGTTTGTGTGTGTGTGTGTAGACACACCCTAGCAAGGAGTACTTTGTTGTAGCAGAGAATGGAAACCAGCCCAACATCATAGTCTATGAATACCCCTCCTTACGACCGTACCGCATCCTCAGAGGTAAATGGGACCAAGATTCATTGAGTTATACCTTTTTGAAGTACTCTGTTTCCGTTTCATTGACGATCACGTTTTAACCTTTGTCATTTGACCATCAGGCGGTACAGAGCGGGCGTACAGCTTTATGGACTTTAACTGTGACGGGAGCCTGCTGGCCAGCGTGGGAAGTGCACCCGATTTCATGCTGACGCTGTGGGATTGGAGGCAGGAGGAGGTGATGCTGAGCTGCAAGGCCATTTCTCAGGATGTCTACCGAGTCAGCTTCTCCCCATACAACCCAGGACTGCTCACATCATCAGGATCTGGACACATCAAGTAAAGGACACTGAATCCTCCTAAAACTGTGAACCACTGAGAAAATGCAGATCGTGTCTTGTTTGGTAGCAGAAATGTTTTCAGTGATTTAAAAGAACAAGGATAGACATTAGACTCTGGGGCCTCTTTGGCTGTTTTTGATGTTCAACAATGATATAAGATCAAATCTGCCGGAGCAGAGATTAATTTCATGAAGTACTCGCTCTGAGAAATTCAGGCATTGAACTTGTTTGGATAAGGGCAGAGACATTTCAAACCAATACAAGCACACCTCGAGAAGTTTGAAATAAAACTAACTCATGGTGTCTGATGTGGAGCAGCTGCTTAGCTTAGCTTAGTTACTGGAGGCAGGGGGAAACCGTTAGGCCCAGTTCACACCAAAGATTCACCACAAGACGAAACAGTTTTAGAACGTTGCAGCAGTGTGAACTGGTTGTCTCGGCGCGACTTTAGCCAGCTGATGGCGTTGTGTGCAAATCTCCAGTAGCTAGTCTGTTTTATCAGCTCATAGCGAGGTCAGCTGGTTGTAAAAGAGTTTT